GAAGGCTCTTTTGCTCGATTCTGCTTAACTGCATAATTCACCAGGATCGTTAGAATCTAGAAGAAGATCGATGAGAACTTGCGAGATCGCATCGTACTGAGTGGGAGGAGGCGAGTTTGCATTCTCTTTTTCCAGAAATATCGCACTAAAATCGCTGCTTTCTATTAATAACTGGGTTAATGATGGCATTACTGATGATGTGTATATTAACCGTCGTACTGACGAGGTGGTCCAGTTGTGGTGCTGAACAGGAATGTATACGATTTAACAGACCAGAGCACTGCTGGTTGATAGCTCCAGGAGAGATAATATGTTCATCGTCGTTACTGTTTCAGCTCATTGGCTCGAGAAAACAAAATGTATCGGGAACAGCTTCGTGATACACGTGCTCAGATCGCTTCACTAATGTCCGATAAGAAAAGCCTGGAACATGATATCGCCGAGATGGAGAAGAAATTCGCATTAGTTAGCGACGTATTGAAAGTATGCTTTTCAAAAAGTCGAGGCTTTAAATCTCCAAATCGTCTCTTCCTTTTTTCCTGCAAAATGATCGTTTGCTGTTTCAGGCAGAAGATCGCCAAAAATTGCCATTTTTGAACGATAAAACTGGACAGGAACCAAATCTGGCACAGAGACGCCCGCATAAAACACGTAATGCCATTCCGCGTACATCGCAACGTGGTGAAGATACTGATTATGACAAAACCGGAGATTCCATGGATATCTCCTACGATGACTCGGATGATTCACATCGGCTAAAACGCCAGATGTGTAGACGGTAAAAGTTCTTTTTGTCCAGTAATCTTAACAACTACATATCCCACCCTTCGTTTTAACATTTCGACTCCACCCGTTCCAAATTTTGATTTCTTTTGGCCATCCGCTTGTTTTAAGATTACGATTTGGCCTTCGAACGGCCGCAATTTGTTATTCTGGGAAGAGGGCAACACCGACTGATCAGCAACATTGACTCCTTTACACTCACCTCCCACAAAAAGTGAAAATATTCGGCGGCAAAGGCCGAGCAGGAGCCAGAGTCAAAGTTACTGGCTGTTACTAACAAAAGCCTAACAAAGGAGTCGGAGTTGCTCATTTTAGCACATAAATTTGAATTTATTCAGAAAAGTTTTGATTTTCGTTTGTTTTCACCTCTGAATTTGAGTCTTTTTTTTGCATCTTATTTCCTGAATTTTACACTTTTCCGTTTTTTAACTGTCTCATTCTTCCCACTTTCTGGTTCTTCCCTTTCTCCGCGAGAAAAGAAGAAAAATGTTGGCGCCGCGCCGCGTTTCTTCGGTAATAAAAATGTATCGGTTGTATTCTTATATGGATTGTTTTCTTTCATTTCTGGTTTGAATTTTTGACCAAACAGCCGGGGTTTTTTCAGTTATCATTTTGCAGATCACGAAGCATGACTACGATCACAGAAGCACATCGGGCAGTAGCAGCAGCCAAGCGTCCCAATGAATCCATCCGAATGGGACTTGTTGCCGAGGATTCGGTACAACTTCTTGTTTAGAATCTGCTGCAAAAGGAGCAAGATGTTGACAGCAAGGGGACGATGCTGCTGGCTAAGCCCCTTCGAATCTTACCCAGTTGTCCTTCGATTCCATGTGACACACAAATGCCAGGCATTATTAATGGTTATATGATGGTCCCCAAGTAGTCCGTTTGCGTCTGCAATCGGATTTCGTTGGTTTTGAAAGCTGCTCTACAAATAGCTCCTAGCTTTTTTCCCCCGCAATTGCGGCGAGGTGTAGATGGGCCGTTACTTAGTAGGCTGAAGGATTGGAAGAACGGCCCGGGGAGTATGTTGCATCGAGAATTTTATCCTGGAATATCGAGAAAAGAAAGCAAGCGATTGGTACTTGGGGGCAAAAGTTGGCCGTAGTTACCACGGAAAAGCTATCAGTTATATTGATGGATCAAAATGTGCTGTAGTAATAATGTTCAGGCGTCATTGAATTATGATGTTTTTTAAGGAAACGCCGTGCAAACGATCTAAGGATGGTACGGAGATGAATATAACAACGACAACATCAACAGTTGTCCCGGAGGGTACAAAACCATCAGGAGCTCGTATTTCGATAAAACGTTCGATGAATCGGTCGATGTCGGAGTCAAACGTTCTGAAGGTTTGTGTGTGTATGTGTGTGTGTGTGTGTGTGTGTGTGTGTGTGTACGCCAGTCTTGTATTTTGCATATTAAGAGATAAGGGCTAATATCTCGCTGACATAACTAACATCGGTCTCCACACCGATTGTCCATGCGTACCTAATAATCTGGATAATGGTTAAGTTGAGCTTACGGCAACAGGTAGCTAATACTGATAAGTTAGCGCAACTTCGCCAGTTTTAGAAAAAAAAAAAGAAAAAACAATCTGATTTTGATACACGGGCATGAAAAAGCCACAGATTTATTTCCAAAAAAAGAATTTAATGAGCCAAAAATAGAAATCTGTTGCTGCAGAAACACGCAAATTGAAAAGTATCATTTTTTTCAGCCTAATGAAGGGGTCTTAGCGGAATTTGCATCAAATGCGCTTACACCACGATATGGTATTGGAGCCAGTGCATTTGACGTGTAAGAACTTTTATTTTATTTATTTATACTGTCTTTACCAGGTTCAGGATGAGTGAACGGTAAAGTGGATTTAAAGAAATGATTTATTTACCTTTCAGGCAAACTCCTCCGAGCCTCGTCAAAAGTTGGACGAATGGTTCATCGATCGAAACTCGGCCACACACTTACACGAATTTCACAACACTTACTGGCGGTTGTGAGGTGTGCAATCGACGAATTGGACTTGGTGCCCGATCGGCTTTCAAATGTGCAGGTATCTTTTTTGCGAAACATTTTTTTTTTAAATATCGTGATTTATTTTTTTTTTTTTGCTTTTCTTTATATTACTGTATATCTTCAGACTGTGGCATTCGTATGCACAAGCAGTGTGTTAGCAATGCACCAATTCCTTGTGTACCACGAACTCCGGTACCGCGTACACCCAGTAAGCAGCGTCCGCGCCTCAAGGATTTCTGTCCACCTACACAACCGATGATACCATCTTTGATCATACACTGTGTCTTGGCACTCAACAAAGATCGCTTAAGTACAGAAGGAATTTATCGAATCCCCGGGTTTGTTTTTGTTCTTTTTTTAATTTCTAGAGATTTGTTGCTGATTACTTCTGGGAAGAAGTAACGATAATATAGGACGGGGGGGGGGGGG